GCGCCCTTCTTTAAGATCTGTGAAGAAAAGAAAAACGAATTGTTACAACTTCCTTGTTAATTTTAGCTTCTAAACTAGGCATAGTAGCCATGCCTTAAATGCTGCATTCAGAGAGACAAGACAGGACCTCTGTGACTTCGAGGCCAGCCTCACTCACTGTGACCTACACAGCTCAAGTCCAGTCTGAATTACAGAGAATACTACGTCTCAAAACATTAAAAAAAAAAAAGTAAAAAATTACTTTATAGTAAACCTCATAGTTTCAGAAGCCTTAAATCATACCTAAGTTCAACCAGCTGCAACTTACATCTCCTTAACACTTTTTGTTACTAATAACAATAAAGAATGTCTCAGTTATTTCTAAATCTCTAAGAAGGCCATCGCATTAACCTCTAAAAGATTTCGTCTCTTTTGAAATACTTCATCCAACCCAAATATATAGGCCCACAGTAATCCAGGACATACAAGACAACTCTGTCAATTCAGTAAAAACTCTTTGTCCCTGAGCTTTATTTAAACTGGCATATGTCACTTATCATGACATTCAATCAAACCGAAAATACTACTTCTGAGAATGACTCTAATTTCATCATGCAGGAAGTTTCCCCACTTATAAACAAATTAACTTTGCTCTACATAACAAGTAAGCACTAAGATACTGAAGGGAATGAAATACAAGTTTCTACAATACTCTTTGAAACTTTAAAAATATCTAAAGTTAATCACCAATTTTGCTCTTCTTAACATCTGCTGTATCACAGAAAACAAATCCTCAACTAAACCCTGCAAGGAATCTTTTTTTCTATAGAAGTCCTGCTTCCTCTGTCAAGATTCAAATCAAATGATATCTTCTAGCCAAAAAAAATCCCCAAATAAATATCAAAACAGGTCAACAGTACTTATCTTTCAATAAGAATACGTTCCCAATATTTTTTGTATTATATTTATTTCACTCTACAACGTGTTTATAAATCTAAAGCTAGGACACCTTTAGTTTGTACCAGATTAAAGCCCTGATAAATTCTGAATCCAACAGACAACACCTCAGAAAACTTCTTACAAAAGGCAAGAGATTCATGGACACCAGTCTGGATCTTTGTGAGTTCAATTCCCAGTATCAAAAAATAAACAAACAAAAGGTCTGGTCCCTCACAAAACTGTGGCTTTGTTTCCATTCATGATTTTTAAAGGAATATATATATATTTTTTAACATACATTTTTAAGAAATATATATAAATATACATTAAGAATATGTATCTCTAGCTTTCCCTCATATCAGACCAGTTCTTATTTCCTGACGTTCTCATTTCACCCAATTTTAAGACCACTGAAACATCTGAATGTTACATGAATCTTCTCTCTCACCTACACTGATCTTAAATGTTGCCTGTTTTTCAATTTCTTTACAAATCTCTTTCTTTGGTCCCTTTTCTTCATTAACAGAAACTATAGAAAGAGGGCCTTAGATAGATAATCTAAGCACTTTTAAAATACATGAAAAAAAGAACAAATAAAATTTATACTAACAATTAAGAGTCTGACAACTTTCTCTTAGAAGGAAATAAAAAACAATAAGGAGCACAGCAATGATTGTGGACATAGAACACTGTGAGAAAACTGACATGTGACATTTATAGAATACTTCAGAGTAAATAATGAACGTAACATTTTTAAGGGCACACAGAAAATCTGCCGACATAGAGCAGGATAAAGGTCACAAAATTTAGACTCAGTAATTTCCAAAGGTTTTTAGTACACTCTATAAAGGCTTTAAGTTAAAAATCAATAAATTTTTAAAAACCTACAATACCTTTCCCACACAGTTTTTGAAAAAAAATCAAGCAACACATTTCTTTAAAAAAAGCCTGTATCAAAGAATAAATCAGAAAGGAGACTTTGTAATTTAAACTAAATCATAATAAAAACATAACCTCAAAATTTTTGAAATCCTCCTAAAGTATTGCTAAGATAGTCACAGCTTTAAATGAGTATATTAGGAATGAACAGTATGAAACAGTCCAACTGAAAAAATAAGAAAAAGTAATGACATATAAAGCAAATGATATAAGAGAAATAAAAACACAGAAATCAATAAAATAAAAAGATAAATATTATAAAAATACAAAAGTTCTTTAATTAAAAATATTTTTAAATTAACCCCTAAGCAAGACTTATAAAGAACAAAAGGCATAGAAAATACCAGTAACAGGAATGTAATGGAAAACTCAACACTGATCTTAAAAATATTATAAAAATATTTATTCTAATAAATTCAATAGAATTTCTGAATATTTATTGACACGCTTTGCAAAATAAAAATTACAGGCCTAAGTGGCTTCACCAACAAAGCTTGTCATGCATTTGAAAAGAAAAATATAGACTCTATGCAAATATTCCAACTATAATGAAAGAAAAAACACAACTCAGTTTATTTTATGAGGCAACCATTACAATGATATTTAAATCAAGTGATATTATAAGAAAAGCTACACGCCAGTATTCCCATGAATATTTTTGGTATCAGCAATCAAACTCAGGACCTTGTATTTGCCAGGAAGGTACCTTCCCGTTGAGTGACAGTCTCAGTCTTTTACACATATTATTAATAGTAAACTATTAATAAACCATTTTCAGCTATATATAAAAGGAAAATATACTACAACAAAGTACAGATTTCTAGGAATGCAAGATTAGATTAATATTTACTGGTGGAATCAAAGAGTTGATTAAGGTTAGGATAAAAAAGGAACACAACTGTGTTAACCTACAGTTGATTTTCATTGTATACAAGGAAAACACTAAATACTAAGGATTCATCAGGAATAACAACAAAAAGTTACTTGAATAAATAAATGATCTTAGCAAGTTTGAGAAATACAATGTTAGAGCTGGGGATTTAGCTAAACTGCATAAGTGCCTGCCTGGCAAGCACGAGGTCGTGAGTTCAATCCCTGGCACCAAAAAAAATTAGTATTTTTTAAATCAATTGTAATATTTTCATATACAAGAAATAATCTCTAGAATTCAACACTTTAAGTGTTATTTTTAATTGTATTATAATAAGAAAATGAGATAATTTTTTAAATGATGAGCAACACTCATTTGCTAAAACCTACAAAAAATGAAAAAACTTAATATTCAGGGACAAGACTCAATAGTAATATGATATATCCATTCTCAAACCTATATATTAAACATAATCATATAAAGATATGAGCAGGTTTTTAAAAAAATAACAAACTGATTCAGAGTTGTACAAGGAAAGTAACATGTAATCTGAAAAACTATCACTATAATTCAAGAAGTAAAAATAAAAAGAATCATACTGAGAGATAAGGACTTTACAGGCTTACCTACAGAAACTTGTATAATTTGACTATAATTATTTAAGTAAACAAACATGGATCTTTTAGATTTTTCCTTACTGCCAAATTTGTGTATTAATAGTATATACTGTATTAATCCTCATACAAAGAAATTACTTACAGGGTAATAACAATATTCATTGAAAATAAAACTGACTTGTAATCTACTGTTAATTAGAGAGTAGATCATAAAGTATACAGAGACCATATATCTTTTATCTATTAAGTCTCATAATTATATGCTATTGTGCTAGCATATTAAAAAAATTAGAGCTTCCTCAGATATTCACTATTTACACAAATTGTCTTTCAGTTGCCCTACAGCAAGTTTTCAAAATGTGATTAAAGATTGTTGAAGACTCCTAATAATAATACTAAAGTGTGATTCACCTTTCCCTACTTAATTCCTCATTATAACTAAAAATGTAAAGTACAGGTTTTCCAAAGGTAACATATATTACAACAGAAAAATGCAGAGGCAAAAAGAACTAACTTGTTTCCTTTTATGCTATCAACTAAAAAACATTTGCAAGGCTGCTCTTCTTTCTTTTTTTAAAGCTTTGGAACGTCATTAATTTTTGTTTCCATGTTAACAAAAAATGGATATAAAATTATAATTTTCTTCTTGAATATTTTAAGTTCTCAGTTTTACTTTTTCCTATAATAAACATTGCTACACATTACACATTGATAAATGCTCTTTGAGTCATCAAAAATTTTAATAATATAAAACAATTTTGATATCAAAAACATTAAGAATCACTGTAGTATAGTAGTAATAAGTGGTACAGGGGATGATAACAACCCTTAAATATTAAAAAGGAAAAACATAAAATTTATTTGTAAAAAGATTATCAAATGTTACTGTTTAGATTTTTAGACATTACACCAAGTACCCTGCAGATCTAGTAAATTTCATCAATAAAAAAAGTTTAAGGCCCAGAAATACAAGATACACATACACCCTTTCTCAACATAACCACTTTTGTTCCTGTTCCCATCATAATGCACCTCTACTATAAGAGAATGGAAAACTAATTTCCCAAGTCTCCTGTCTAACTATTAAAGTTAGACGCTGCCTGCATAGTAGACCCTGCCACTGCTCTTCCAAACTCTCCTCTCCCCTTTTTGCACTTGCCTCCACCCTGCTTACCACCTTCTCATGCATTGTATATGTTGTTCTATTTATTGCATTTAGTCTCTGTCCTTCCACCAAACATAAGGTAAACTATGTAAGTACAGTTTTATTCTGTTTCATTTACTAATGTGTTCTTAGCACCGAAGAGTGCCAAACACAAAATAAATAATTTTCAAATGATTTAGTGGAATTTTACTGAAGTCAAATGCAAACTCTATCATTTTACCAGGTGAGAAGAGATGTCCTAACAAACTGATCTCCACTCATCCAGTAGATGACACATGCGCTGCACGTGTGAGTGATGCTATGGCTGCAGGGAAACTCTTAGGGCTCAATAGTTCTCCTAGTCTCAGAAATGAAGAAAGATAAGAGAAGAAACAAGAACGAGATGGATATGGAAAAGGTTCAAACTAGAGGCAGTATAAGTAGGCTTTTTTCAAATAAGTATTCCACGAATATCAGCAAAGACAAATAAGAATAAGGAGAGCTAACATACCTTTCTTCTCCTGATGTATTTCTACTAGAAGCTGCTCTTGCCGTTCTATCTGCTGAAATAGAGACTGGAGCTCAGATTCCTTGTTCTGGGTCAGCTCCCTGAGTTGCTGTCTGCAGAGCATCAGCTGATGTCGCAGATTTTTCTCTCTGTTTTCTCTTTCCTTTAGTTCTTCACAGAGCCACTGGAGTTTAGTCTAAAAAATGAAGTATCTAATTTTTAAAAATCCAGCTAACAGTAGCATTTCAAAGTGTGAAAGAATAAAGCCACATGACAATAAACTGAAAGAATATAGGTAACTACCAAATGTAAGTAAAATTTTTAAAATTCACGCTTTCATTTGCATACAGGCTTATTAACAACTAAAAGCTGGTTCAGAAATAAACTCACAATATTCTTAGATTTTTATGAAATACTTGATATACTCCATCATCCTCAGAAAGGAATCTCCATGGAAGAGCTTGCCTATTACATTTCCAATCATACTACAAGTAGTGTCCTCATCTGACAAGTAAGGCAGTAAGACAGGCAGTGGAAAATTAAAAAAACAAAAATCCCAGGACAGGAAAATTCAGAGAGACATATTAAAAAAAAAAAAAAAAAAACCAGATGAGATTCCTAGTAATGAAATACATACTGCCATAGGTCTAATGGATTAGGAGAGGGAGAGGTTATCCATAAACAAATGAGGATGGGATCAACATTTGTCCACATTTAAGAGGGTAGGAATTCATATAAAAAGAAGGTTTGTGTTTTCTCAAGATAATTTATCTTATTTTCTGCTATTAGCTTTTTGATTACCCAAGAAACCATGTATTAACATAGTTATTGATATTTGAAACTGTATCTGAGACTAAATATGTATGTATCTCATTACTGAATATGTTGTATAAATACGCATTTGGAAAACTAAAGAAACATGTTTGATTTATGCACAATAATCAATAAGTGTTCTCTTTTATACAATATACACTGCATGTGAACCATAAACTTACAAAATAGTCACTAAAACTCAACATTTCTGCTGTTATTCAGCTATCACCCAGGTAGAAAAAACTTCATGATTTGCACAATCCTGTCACTAAAAATACAGCCTACATTTATTGGCTTTAAGTAAGTATTTTGTTATTACATAAATGAAATACATTTGTACATCAGGTAGTAAGACTATTATGGTCATTAACAATGTTTTCTGAGTTTGTTAGAAACCTAAAGCCATTCTCTGGTTTTTCATCAATGTTGCTAACCTTCATAAATCCATTGAATACTAAATACCATGACTATTATAGCTATACACTGAACATGGGTTCAAATTTTTCCCTTAAAATAAAAAGCTAAGTTAATATGCTAAAATTTCTATATAATCATGATGCTAATTATTCCTGACTTTTTGTGTGTTAAATCCATTTGTGTTCCCTAAGTTGACAAGCCTTGTAAAGTATACAACTTGAGGAAAACACCTTAACCTTACTGCTTCTCCCTCCATAATACTACAAGAACCAATATTGATTGCAATAGCAGAAATTTTTTCGGTAGCATTCCTAATTGTATATGGATAGGATAATTGATAGGATAGTATATTGTATAGGATAATTATATATGCCTAAACATGGTACATTCCAAAATCAGTCAACTAAAAAGCACATCTGTAACCAAATATTTAAAAGGAATCTAATTCTGACAAATCATGACTTATTATATTTGTTAAAACTATTATGTTAACTAGATTTACTTTGCATTTATTAAGATTTTTCTTGTAAAACTTTATAACTGTAGCCTGTTAACATTCTGCAAAAGTATGACTTTTAACAGAAAATTTGAATAGTATTTTAAGATGGTAGGCAATTATCTATAAAATAGATTGGCTACACCACTGACTCTCACTATCCAGAGGAAATTACACTAGGATCAAGACCTCTTATTCCCACTATGAAACTGGTATAACTGACTCCGGGTGTTCAAAACCCAAGGTCTAAGACCTAGCTAAGGAAGATAAAAGGGCAAAGAGTACAGCCAATACTTTGATCCTTATCCTCTGACCCAGAGCACAATGGGACCTCAAAGAAAATGGTCCTATGACTCCAGGGAGTCACACAACCTCCCAAGCAGATGCCAGAGGACAGGAGTCAACCAAGATGCCTTGTGCTTAAAGAAGAGTGATGAAAGAGAGGCTTGCCCCTACTTTTAAGGGAAGCCATATGGTCCATTGCACTCCAGGACACAAACAGTAACATTAAAGGGAGCCAATAAAGCTCTTTGTGTGTCCCTAAAAGTAACCCCTGAGAAAACTTTCTTGACCTTAATACTAAAAAGTAAGTCAATTTTGATCACCAACTTGACTTTAAACACTCAATGGTAAAGTATAAAAGAGTAAAATAGTTGACATTTAAAAAGAAAATAGGAGAGATTATCTTTTGTCTCTTCCCCTAAGGTTAAGGAAAATAAAGTCTCTCAGGGAAGAATGACACAGGCAGACAAAGGGAAGAATTAACAGCCAAATTCCTTGGCCTTTACCTTCTCCTCACTCAAAGCATAATTTGTGTTTTTTTCTGGGACAGTCAGGGACTTAAAAGTCATTTTTGCTCTGAACCATGACTCTTCATGTGGGCCACAGATACCCAAGAAGTAACTAAAAGCAGGACAAAGCTTCACCATTTTGTGTCCTTTTTCACCCTAAAACTTTAGATCAAATTCCTTTTGAACTTTGCATATAGGTATGTTAATTATCTAGGAAGTTGTCTTCTCTTTGAAAGTTAGCAATATAAAGTTGATTAGCACTGAACTTATATAATCATACTTCTTTCAAGATTAAAGAAACCAGAATAGATTATTTCCTGGGATATTCAACAATGCCTTAAATGCATTATGTATACCATCATGCATTATGCATATCATTATGTATATCAAAAGTATACCAATAAAATTAATTTTAAAAAAATAATGCCTGGAAGCATCCATCTGTGACCACCTAGACTTCAGGAAAGGCAGAACCCTACCTGTTTCAGACTATCACTGACATAGATAATACTTAACTGGAAGGGAGCCTACCACTTAGCTAGAAAAACTTTAGAGCCATTACAGCAGGACTGAGATAATGATCAACTGGACCCCAGCCCACTAGTTACTCCTTAAAAGCTGGTGTCCCAACTTTTTGAAGATTCCTGTATCAGAGTATCCCCTTCCCCTCATCAAAGCTAAGTTTCTTATTCTCTTTCAAATTAAAGTTGTTTTTTTGTTTTTGTTTCTTTACTGAAGAGAAAAAAAAGAGGTTAGAAAGTTAATACAGGCAACTCTTTCTATAGCCTCTAACTTCTATCTAAAGATATTTAGATATTGGAAGGAATAATGTAAAAGAATTATTCCTTTGCTCTTCAATACAAAAAGATTGAGTCATGTCTCAGGACCTTCCCAAATAGGCAACCCCAAGTCACCACATGATTTTAAACACTCTAAAACAGTCCTTAGCATAATAAGAAACAAAATGAGTGAAGGAGAAATAAAAAGGGAAAATCAGGCTAAATTATTGGCCAGCTTCCTTGACCAGAACTCACACCTACGTAGGAAAAGTTCTAGGCCTCTCCAAGTGTCAAGACTTCATATCTAAAGAGTCTGTGTAGAGTAGTTCACTCTATCATGCAGTGAAACTGAGATATGGCCCATTGACCAAGTGCTCCTCACATTTATCAGCTGACTGATAACATCCCACAACCAGAAAAAAAGCACAGTTGCAGAAGTCAGAAGGACTATATACAAAGAGCTCCTGTGACATAAAACAAATATTATCAGATTCAATCCTCCAGTTTAATGGTTTTACCCAATAGTTTAAGTGTGCATATAGAAATAACTTCACATTTCCTCAGTGCTTTCCTATCTACCCCATTCCAATCTCTGATCTTTGTTTATAACTTAAGGTCAATAACTATCATTGATAAGAAATAGTGATGGAGGGGGCTGGGGATTTAGCTCAGCGGCATAAGCGCCTGCCTTGCAAGCAGGCAGTCGTGAGTTCAATCCCCCGTACTGATAAAAAGCAAAAAGACCCCCCCCCAAAGAAAAGAAGTAGTGATGGAACACAAAACAAAACAAAAATTTTAGTCTGTCCCTAAGAGTAATCCACCAGGTTTTCATCAGAGCAAAAGAAAACAATACCAAAAACCCAAAATAAAGTATTGAAGCAGATCTGTTATTCAATGAACTGTATCCTTCCAAATTTCACACCTAGAAGCTAAAATCCCAAGCGTGACTATAGACACAGAGCTTTAACAAGGTAAGGAAGCTTAAGTGAGGTCATAAGGGCAGGTCCCTAACCTGACGCCATGCCTGAAGTCCATTTAAACTCCTTAAACAGTTCTCTTAAGGGACTCACTTTCCCTTAAGACAGAGGAAAGGGAGGTACAGAAAAGGTTGCCTTCTGCAATCAAAGAAAACATATCTCACCAGAGAATAAACCTAGCACCTTAATCTTGGACTTTTAGCCTTCAAATCTGTGAGAAAATGATCATCTGTTATTTAAGCCAATGTGACCCAAGCAAACTAACATAATATGACCTATAGTTTTAATTTACTCCATGAAGCCCTTACTCAATTGTCAAACAAAATTAAAAACAGGCTATAGTTAGATGCAGATTCTTGTTGCAAATTGAGTATGTATGCAGAATATTATTAACCCAAAACAAAAATACCAATTTATGGAAATTTAATCAACCAATGATCAATTATGACAATCAGTGTTTGTTAGCTATAATACTCAGCATCTTCATTAAGTATCCCAAAAAGCAGCTTGAAACACAGTATAGGAATAACTTTTAACAATTCCAAATAATTAGTTGACAAGGCAATTAATCATAAGACAAAATTCATTCTATTAACCACTCACAGGAGTATTTTACAGATTACACAATAGGCCCATTTATTTAACTATATCAACAAGCATTGTTAAATAAACCAAAATAGAAAATTTCAAAATAAAATGAATTTGTATGTTCATAGTTGCCAGCTGCCAACAAGGTGGGAATATTTCGCAAATATCTAATAAAACTGTAACAATGCCCTTTTTAATCTGTGAGAAAACTCTACTGAGTTTTAGAGCAAAAAAAGTCACTAGGAATAACTCAAAGCTAAAAAACAAAAGAAAACAAAAAGTCAAATAAAAACACTAAAGTTTATAGGATTAGTAATATTAGAACCCATAAATTT